CGTCCGAATTCCGATCATTTGCTTTCATTTTCGGCACGGTTATAGTATTACCCTTTTTAACACTAACATGAATGACATGAGTGTATGTTGAGAATTGACGTAATGATAAAAAGGTAAACAAGTTATCGTCCAAGAGAACGCGAGATCCGGGCCTGATTCACGACGCCTAGAGGACGAAGGTAGGCCCAGAAATGCCAAGTGTTCTCAAGGAGGAGTATGTTGTGTTGGATGAAAAATAAACTTCAGAAGATCGTAACAACAAAGCTACTCCAGAAATTTCAAACTTTGATATCTTTTAGTGCCTTGGCGGGTATTGTTTGGCGTCAATCTTCTGGAGGTAGATCGTTGCGTTCTAGCACGGAATTTGACTTAGTCAAATTCAAGTCAATGCCAATTGTCTGAATCTGCGGTTCCACCCGTACTGAACGAACAGAATTACTATTGCAGCAACACTTCATCACTAGACTAAAACTAACCTGCCTCACGACGGTCTAAACCCAGCTCATGTTTCTTATTAGTGGGTGAACAATCCGGCAACACTTGGCAAATTCTGCTTCGCACTGATAGGAAGAGCCGACTTTGTAGGATCAAAAAGCAACGTTGCTATGAACGTTAGTCGCTGCCACAAGCCAGTTATCCCTGTGCCAACTTTTCTGACACCTCTAACTTAAAACTCCTAAAGACTAAGGGATTGATAGTCCATACTTTCACAGTTTGTATTCATACCGAAAATCAAAATCAAGTAAGCTTTTACCCTTTTTTTCTACATAAGATTTCTGTTCTCATTGAGTTCACCTTAGGGCCCCTTGCGTTATCAATTGACAGATGTCCCGCCCCCGCCAAACACCCAACCTGACAGTCTCTTCGACTCTGATTGGTCTGCAAAAGAGAGACCTTAAATCCAGAACTCGAACCTTTCTTCTCCACTTCATCCAATAAGTAAAATGGATCCTCTGCTCATAATTCTGCTCATTCCAAGTTACAAGACTTAGTAAAGCCATGCCTTGTTATTTCTTATTAGGCTCCATCTCAATACAATACCTTACCATCAACAGTTAAGATCACACGCAGTATTTTGCCGTGTGAAACCAAAATCCAGTCTTTGCCTTTTTTCCCCCAACTTTCACAATATCTCACACGCGATCCAAGAGGCTTATTCTTTTCCCGAAGCCCGGCTACCAGCACGGCGTTTTTCCGCGAGGCATAAGCTGTAAAGCTGTGCCTAACCACTCCAGAACTTCACACTTACTTTTCCAATGTCATGTCAGTGCACCCACTTCTACATTACTTTTTCTTGCGGATCTCCACAATGCAACTGCTGAATATCCCAAGAAACCAACTCTTGTACATGGCTTCAATGCGAGCTATTTCAAGCACCGTTTCCCCCTACATTAACACTCGTCAACTTTCCAATCCCCTTCTGTTGCAATTGTTTTTTGTAATTACCTTCGTTTATTGTTTGGTGGGAAAATTATGCAAAATTTATTTCCCACAGCGGGAATCGAACTTGGCCCACGGCAGTCGAGAGCGCCTAATCCTAGCCTGATAAGAAATAACAAGATATGGCTTTACTAAGTCTTGCAATTGGAATGAGCACAAATGAAAACCTTTAAGGACGATCCATTGGAGGGGAAGTCTGGATTTTGGTTTCATACGGCCAAAGCCTGCGTGTGATCTTAACAGTTGATGGTAAGGTATTGTATTGAGATGGAGCCTGAAAAGAAATATAAAGATATGGCTTTTCTAATTCTTAAAATTGGAATGAGAACAACTTAAATCCTTTAAGGAGGATCAATCTTGCTTATTGGATGAAGTGGAGGCGAAGCGCAAGGTTCACGTTCTGGATTTAGGGTCTCGATTTTGCAAACCAGTCCGAATCGAAGGCACTGTCAGGTTGGGAGTTTGGCAGGGGCGGGACATCTGTCAAATGATAACGCCAGGTTTCCTAAGGTGAGCTCAATGAGAAACGAAATCTCATGTAGAACAAAAGAGTAAAAGCTAACTTGATATTGATTTTCGGTATGATTAAAATCTGTGAAAGCATGGCCTATCGATCCTTTAGTCTTTAGGAGTTTTAAGTTAGAGGTGTCAGAAAAGTCAGCACTGTGATAACTGCCTTATGGCAGTGAAACGTTCATAGCGACGTTACTTTTTGATCCTACAAAGTCGGCTCTTCCTATCATTGCGAAGCAGAATACGGCAAGTGTTGGATTGTTCACCCACTAATAGGAAACGTTAGCTATGTTTAGACCGTCGTGAGGCAGGTTAGTTTTAGTCTAGTGATGAAGTGTTGTTGCAATAGTAATTCTGCTCAGTACGGGTGGATCCGCAGATTCAGACAATTGGCATTTGCACTTGGCTGAAAAGGTAACATCTGTTGGATTATGACTGAACGCCTCTAAGTCARAATCCGTGCTAGAACGCAACGATAATTATCTGCAGATGATTTTAGGCGAACAACGATATGGGCCACGCTTGCGCGGACCTCTGCGTCGCAACGTGCCAAGGCGGACAATAAACGCCAAGGCACTAAAAGATATCAAAGTTTAAAATTTCTGGAGTAGCTTTGTTGTTACGATCTTCTAAAGTTAAATTTTATTTTTCACCCAACACAACATACTCCTCCTTGAGAACACTTGGCATTTCTGGGCCTACCTTCGTCCTCTAGGCGTCGTGAACCAGGCCCGAATCTCGCGTTCTCTTGGACGACAATTTGTTTACCTTTTTATCATTACGTCAATTCCCAACATACACTCATGTCATTCAGGGTGAGTGTTAAAAAGGGTAATACTATAACCGTGCTGAAAATGAAAGCAAATGATCGGAATTCGGATACCGTAGTTGCATAACGATAGCACTATTTTACACAAAACATTGGAGTCATTGGCCAATGACGTTTTTAAAGACTTTTTTGTATTACTTTAATTCATTTAGATTCAGGTAAATTTAGATAGATTTTTATTGAAAATTTTATCGCAGCCCATGGGCTGAGTTACGTAATTATGTACAAACAATAAAAATATATATAATTATAATAATAATGATAGTAATTAAAGAACAATATTAATGATAATAATGATATAGTAGTAATATAAAATTGTAGCAATAATAATTCTAACAAATATTTAGAGATAAAAGCTAATAAATATAAATAAAAAAATTATTATTATCGTCATTATCGTCATCATTACAGTTATCATTGTAAAAAAAACGTCATCGCTTATCGCCACCGCAAGTACAGGAGTAACGCAGCTCAACGGCTTCGAGCTGAAAGCATGTTAAGACGCCTTTAGCAGGCGTTTTCATCATCGTCATGTAACATTTGTTATCACCCCCATCGCCATCTCCACAAGAGATCATGACCATATCATCATCATCAGCATCATCATCACCATCATCACCACCTTTGTTATCATCTCCATTATCACCATCGTCATCATCATCACCACCACCATCGTCATCATCATCACCATCATCATCATACGGATGTACTTAATGTTTTCTCACAAATCCCACGGTCAAGTGAATAGCCTGCGTCAACAGGAGCAAAGTTTCGCAAAAGTTCGATAATTTATAGTTTTAAACCAACTTATTTATTTATTTTAGGACTATTACATCACATTTTCTCTCTGTCACAAAACAATCCCACGGTCACGTGACAAGCCTGCGTTAACAGCCGTTTCTTGCACTTCCATCCGTATCCAAAACGGTATGTGACCCCACCCACTGTGTTTGACGAAACACTCAAACAATGCTGCTAAGAGTTGTTTCTTGATTGAACACTTTGTTTGACTCTCAGGAATACTTGGTTATTACATTTATGGTTTGAGGGTTATTACATTTATGGTTAAATTTTATCACATTTATGGTGGGTTTTGATTATTACATTTATTGTTAAATTTTATCACATTTATGGTGGGGTCGATTATTACATATATGGTTGACTGTTATTACATTTATGGTTGTTATTACATGTATGGCTGATTTTTATTACATTTATGGTGGGTATTACGTTTATGGGTGTTATTACATTTAAGGGTAATACAGCATCTGTTGATGTTGGCAACTGTTTGTTTTGTTTTTGATTGTGGAAAAAAAAAGACGAAAACGTTTTCAATATATATAGCGAGCCCCATAAATTAGGCTAGGCTAGGAGTCCATGACTCGCCAATAAACGCACTGCTGCTTCTTTTTGAAAGAAGAAGAAAAGAAAAAAACAATAAAAAATTTTTTTGTCGACATCTATGCAGTACTTGTGGATATTTGAAAGAAACTGGGTAAGTAACAATCATGGAGATGCGAAATCTAAGGCTACTCTACCCTACTCACTACGCCGCCCGCCAGCCCCTCCCCCCACGAGAAATAATCAAAGAATCTTATATTCAAGAGAATGGCACTTGGTCTGAAAGGGATAAACTGATAACGTCCAAACTAAAGGAGGCCTATTTTTTCAATATAACCACACAAAAACTAAAAAGTAGATGCCTGGAAGTTGTAGGTTAAAGTAGTTATTATATCTAACAAATAAAACAGCTTCTTCCGTGCTCCGTCCAGTAATAAAGTACGCAGGAAGTGACGTAAGCACGAAAGAAGTGGAGGAGATACACGAGCCGTATGTGAGTGCTTCTCACACTCCTTGAGTGTTTATGGCGCTTAAGTGCATTATTACTGAAATGAACACGGAAAAAGCTGTTTGATTCGTATTATTATATAGTTACTTATCTTTATCACAAAGTGAAGAAAATAACGGCATTGATGCGTTTATTCCATTAGTTGCATCTCGGTTCATTTTGAAAATCAAAGTCGATCAAAAAATTGCAAGTTGTAGCGTTTTCCCTCTATGGCTCTTACAAAGATCAAAATGTTGTTGTTTGGTATTTTTTGCTTTATTTGTTGTTATTTATATTATTCATTTATTTTTGCTATCAATTACTTGCACTGACAAACCTTTTTTTATGAAGTGAAATGTCATACTGTTGCAGTCCAATATGATGCACTGATGCAGATAGTGAATGTTCTTCCACTTTGATTCAGTTGAAGTGCATAGTCCTGCCCTTCCTGACCTACCTTAAATGAAAATGTGAAACACTAGAATCACACTTGTATCCGCTCCTTTTTGCAGAGTTTGTCGACCGTAAGGAAGCTGTAGCCCGTGGGCTCTGAGTACTATACGTTAAGAAAACTACCACGCGCGAGGTAAGCAAAACAACGAAACTTTACAGATGTAGCGAAACATCATACATTGCAGAGAACGTTTGGTTGAAACTTTTGAGCTTTCTGCGACAGTTTTTGTGGTTTTTTGTTTGTTTGTTTGTTTGTTTGTTTGTTTTGTTTTGTTTTATTTTTATTTAAATCTTTTTTTTACGAAGGTAAGATGATTAACCTCCCAGTTATAACTTATGGACCTCGCAACTGAGACAGTGTTGCTCCTAGCGCTGGTATTATATCGACAACTTACATCGTGATTTTATAAAATTGCGTTACTTGCACATGAATATTTTGAAGATGTATAGCCATATTTCTAGCTTGCTTCACAATGTCGCCTGAGTATGTTAGTCAAGGTCGGCTGTTGAGAGAAGTGAAACTTTCATTTCTCGTGGTTGATGAACAACATAGCGGCAAGCTGTAAAGAACTCAGCGCACCACTACCCCATCATCAACTTGCCAAGATCATTTGCAGTTATTAACTTTACTGACTTGAGTCAAAAAAAAGCGCAGCTGAGATTTTGAAATTATTTAAACGATACTAATGGTACTAATAATAGAACCGAAACTTTTCTCTTGTTAGCGATGCTATTATTTTTTGTTGATTGAAACCCTCAAACTCGACAAAGAAATATTTAAGGATCCGAACACAACGGTAACTACGTTTTGACAATTTCCTTCGACTAGATGACAAATTGCAATTATTTTTTCCTAGGAAACATTCGTGAACTTTAAAAAATGTCTAGTTATCGTTGAGTTTGTTTCTACTGAATCTTTTTCACATTATGTAATAGCATTCACAAATTAAAAGAAAAACATTGTGTTAATTGATGTGCTGTTTGTGTTATACTGCAATTGTTTATTGATTGTGACTATAGACCAATAAGAACTCCCTCCAGAGACCACATAGTGTGAGACAAACACCATTCCCAGTATAGCTGGTGCTCAGATTCTTGTGACGTTACGAAATCTCCAAGAAACAGCTTTTCTTCGGAACTTGCCAGAAATTCGACGTCTCTTTGCTTCAAAATAACGAACGAAACTCATTTAATATTTATTACTTGCAGCTGTACGACTTGAGAGTGCAAAAGATGGTGTCTGAAGGAAGATTTGGTGATGGCTTGCTCGTGGTGTGTCTCTTCCTGGGTTTACTTTGTATCCACATTGCTGGTAGGTAAAATTAAGTCTTACAAATACTAACATATATGGCCTTGATGAGATTTTAAAATACACATTTACCTCATCATCATAGAGAACAACTTTGCCAAGCTGAGAATTGTATAAACTGCCTTAAAGCAAGTCCATTAATATTACTTTCTTCTTACGTTCTTGCTCTTGATTATTGATTCAGAATTGATTTGAGCATTTATCTGATATTAGAAGGATATTCCCGACGAGTTAAATATCATATAAATATCATTAGATATATTATTTTCCCTTCTTAGGTGGTTGGGTTCCCTGTGGGATTTAAATATCATAAAACATTGATAGGTAGGGTGAAATATAATGTGAAAAATATCGGATACTTGTAGGATATTCCTGTTGAGTTGAATATCGTATAAATATCATAAAACATTGATAGGTAGGGGGGGATATTGTGTGAAAAATATTGGATACTCTTAGGATATTCCTGTGGAGTTGAATATCGTATGACGATACGAATATCATAAAACATTGATAGGTAGGATGAAATATCATGTGAAAAATATCGCATACTCGTAGGATATTCGGAATCTACTGATATACACTGATATCAAGTTCTTCAGTACTCAACAGATGACTTCATTTTACCCCATGATTTTAAAATGTTTGTCATGGCCTTTTCTTTAGATGGCATCGTAACAGTTTCTTCAAGCAGTCACGCAACACCTCAATCGAGTAACACAAACATCACATGCTTCGTGACGGGGGATACGTTCGTTGGTTGGTTGAACCCGATTGGTCAGAGTATTCCCTCAGATGACTCAAAGAGAATCCATGTCGTGAGTAGTGGAGCCAGACATGATTTGATCATCAAAGATGTTCAGATGAATGATGAAGGGACTTACCAATGTCAAGCTGGGTCCACTTCTTTGCCTGTAACGATATATGTTGAATGTAAGTCATACTTAACCGTAACCATAGTTAGTAGAGGAGCCCCCCTTTACTTACTATATTCACCATTGTGTAGTTCATGGGGTATATATATATATATATATATATATACAGCCGTTTGCAAAAATTATGGCCGCTTCCAATATTTATACTGTTATTCGCATTTAAGGCCATTCATGGTCTCGCGCCACCGTACATAAAAGAATTGATTTCAATCAAGAGTCAAGGCAACTACAATCTGCGTTCATCTACAGGAATATTGCTAGCTTATCCTAGTTTTCGCACACGGGCCACCTTAGGGGATAGAGCGTTTGTTGCAGCTGCGCCTACACTTTGGAATGACCTTCCATTTGAATTGCGCGCAATAACTGATATTAACACATTTAAGCGTCATTTGAAAACTTTAYTTTTTAGCCTGGCATACAATTAGAGAGCATCCACAAAGTTGGGACATGATATTATTTTATGTATATAGTTATATTTTTATGATTTTTATTGGTATTTCGTTTAGATTAGTTCCTAATATTATTATATATGTATGTATATATATGAGTGTGTGTGTATATGTGTATATATACATTTTTTTAATTATATATAATTTCGATTGTGATTACAATATTTATTTATATTATAATTTTAGTGAATTAGATTAGATTTATTTTATATCATATATATTGTAATGCGCTGCTGATAATTTTATTGAAGCAGCGCAATATAAGTCAATAAATTATTA